ACTTGGTAGGTTCTCATATCACACAAAGATTGCCCATGACCCAAGGGTGGGTCATGACCTTGACCCAAGATCATTTTGGGAACTTCAAGGTCAATAGAAGAAAAATTTCATAATTCATGTGTGATACATATCTTCATTACGTAAAAACTTACTTCTGAAAAATTCAGCGGGGGTATTTTGTCCCTTTTGGACTGTTCTAGTTTGTATAAGCTTGATTTGCATTAGTTTACTTCTCATGAATTTACTGCAAATAAAACTATTCGTGTGAACTGTGAATTAATTTTTAAGAATTTATCAAATTTATATTGCACTAAAATTTGACTTCAAGTAATTGGCATAACTGAAATATATTTACACCTGGTCATGTTCTGCATATTACTTCCCCATGCCAATTTCAATGCATGCATGCTAACCGCTTCCCAGTACTTTCAGTACTTTGATTTAAACATGTAATTTCAGGTAGAACTTAAAGGAAAGTTAGGACAGCCATTACCGAGTGGTTGGGCCATAGACAAAGATGGGAAGGTGAGTACATGTATTTCTGACATTTTGCTGTTTAACGAAACTCTTGATTTCAAAATGTAATATACCTTATTTATACACGTAAAACACCCAATCATGTCCTGATATTATAATTTGAATTATACTTTAGGAAACTAAAGATCCGAAGGCATTCCAAGGCTTGTTGCCGCTAGGTGGGGCTGAAGAAAGTGGTACGTAAGAGATACATGTGGATTAATGAAATGTTATACACTTCCTTCAATTCAAACTGCAAGCTATCTGAAGAATAATGCGCTGCTGTTGATATTCCATTGAAGGTGGTTACAAAGGCTATGGTCTATCCATGATGGTTGAAGTATTGTGTGGCATATTAAGTGGTTCAGCATTTGGTCTCAACACTGGAAACTGGAAGAAAGGAGAGGGTGCAGTTAATTATGTGAGTTCTACATAAAGACCTACTGCAAATATATTTTAAAGATTGAATGTATAGTATAATCTAATATGCATATGGATCTGTGCTGATTTAATGATATATGTGACATTATATTTGCATTTTGAGTTGTACATTGTCACGTCAACAATATGTTAAATATATCATTTGGCATAAATACACTATATTTCTTACCCTCATATCATTAAGATACAAACCTCTGACATCCAGACGTTTTCTTCCTCTTGAAGGGCCAATGCTTTATAGCCATAGATCCCAGCAGTTTCGCTGATGGTTTCACAGACAGAATGACTCAGCTGATTGATCAGTGTAGGAGTGTGGAACCTGTAAGTTCTAGATCTATTAGATACTTTTATTGGTCAAATGCTACACACACATTCCTATATAATCAGTACCAAATACTCCAAACACATTTATTACAATACCAATAATTGAAGCCAGGATCATAAAACATTTTAGACATCAAAATTCATATATTGTCCTGGAATAAGGTCAGACATCCAGAATGTAAAAAAAGAACATCCCAATTTATGTTCAGACTACTGCAATAACAATTTCTGAGTTTCAGTTTACATCTTTTAATAAACCTCCTGTAGAGAATGATGATCGACTTAGCCTGTATCTTGCTTATAAGTTTAAAAAAAATGACCATTAGTATTAAAGATATTCTGAAACAAGTAAGATTGTCAAAAATATTAGTCTGAAGAAAGAGTTTCATTTTTCACCAAAATTGAGTGTAACTACTAACAGCTGGACCCTGATTTACCCGTCCTGATCCCTGGAGATCCGGAGAGACAACACGCTCAGCGCTGTAAGGAACTGGGTGGAATTCCCTACTCACAAGAAACCTTCACTAATGCGGTAAATTATTTTAGTCATAAAATTTCTTTTAAAATTTTTCTGACTCGAAAATTTTCACCATGAAATGACTCTTTAAATTCATTATATCAGACATTAAGGTTTTTCATTTGATGTTTACGAAATCCAAAAAGGATGGTTTATGACAAGGTAAAAACATTTTACTTGTTACAACGAGTTAGTTATCCAGTTACATGTATAACTAGTTCGTTATTTAATTTAATCGACTAAGTGATCTCAAGTTTTGTAAAGGAACGTTATAACGAAAAAATAAGTAATTACTCGTTTTGACGTGAAATATCGCAGTAATGAGATAATAACGAGGTATTATCTTGTTTTATCAAGAAACCGACTCGTTATGAAGAGGCAACTTACTCGTTATAAAGAGATACTAACTCGCTAACACGAGCTTTAGTTCCTGTTATAAGGAGATAACTTAATTATCGTAACGAGATAACTAACTCGTTCTTTTGAGATACTCATTATTATGAGGTAACTTCCTCGTTAAACTGTTTTCACCTTCTCAGAAATGAGTCTATCCGGATACCGCAGATATAAAAACAAATGGATTTCAAGTAAAACATTGACTAAAATATTGTACAAAACAAATGAAAATAATACATTTAGATACTTGTAAATACAAATAGAAACATACAATACAGAATAATTATAGATGTATAGATTCCATATAAATGGAAAATCAGAACAATTTAAAATCGTGTCATAGTATATGAAAACATTGGCAATTGATAAAGGAATTACTTCCTTAAAAATTCTAAAGAGAAGATTTGTTAACAATGTACCAGTTATAATACCACGTTCTTCGTTCATGTTTCAAGGTATGACATATTTGTGTAACATTTTGAGATACTGATAGAAATTGTTTCCAATGTAACTTTGATATGTAGACAATAAAGTGTGCAAGACCCAGGCATTCATCACAAAGGGTGTCAATATATCAAGGACAATGATATTTAATTTTTATCTTTTGTTTCAGAAAGAGATCGCTAAACAACTTGGTGTTGAATCATTAAAAGCAAGGACTGCTTAATTGTAATTTAAAAAAAAAATATCTTTTTCATTTTAATTACCATATATATTCTTTGATACCAAAGATGATTCATGAATATAAAAAAGAACGATCTGTTGAATTTTGTTTCTTACTGATTCCATCTTGATTCTGAGTTGTCTTTCATTGTCTTTCTTTTTCGTACCTTTTAATGTAATATTAACTATTGAACATTAACCATTGGATATGTATGTAAAAAAAGAATTCCAACCATCACTAGGTACAATTTTGTTCCTGTATATTTCACTACAGAATTATACACAACAAGGTAAGATATCATTGAAAGTAGGCAATCTACTGTCATGTTGTAAATTTTGAATTTACCGGGTGGCAGTAAATACAAAATTTACAACATGACACGCAGTAAATTCAAAATTTACAACATGACACTACATTGTACTTTTTCCTCTCTTTGATAGATTTTTTCTTGTTGTCAAAGAGTGAATTTGGGTTGCCTTTCTTACTCAGGTAACATCTTTGATCTTTCTATTCATTCATTGACCAAAATAAACTTATGAATGAAAGAGTTTCATCAAAGTGAAGATTTTTGTAATCACAAAGAAAAATCGTCTTATCAGACTTTATTTTTCTACGTCTAATAGGAGATGATAAAAGATGCTTCAATATGAATCACGTAACAAGAACAAGAAAATTCTTTATCTTCGTTTCTAAATTTTTTTTACTCAAAAATATAACAGTGAAATAAGTCAATGTACAAGTATTATAATTCATTTATATAAATTATTGAAATATTCAAGATTACGCATTAATCATATACATATATACGTACATATATACGTATAACCAAAAAAAAAAAAAAATACAGGTATTCGTACATTATATAATGATCACTTTTTCCCGAAGTTCATGTATCGTTATAATGAACCTTTCAGCAATTTGGCTTAATTTGCACAGACTAAAGTAGAACTAAATAAAAGACTTTATAGTCGTAGAGTAAATAACCAAAGAAACTTGGTGAGTTGGTTAGTTGACTTAAAAATGTTTATTGTTCATATCAGAATGATTCTTATACATGTATTTTTAAATATTTTCTATAATGGTGGAATACTTGTCCACCTGAGTATAATTTATGTCTAATTTAATCATAATAATCCCACTCTTTAAATTATATTTGGGTTAGGTAATAGTTAAACATGCAAAAGAATATGCAAAATAATAATTGCAAGTTGAGACTATTTTTTTTTTTCAGAAGAAAAAAATAAGTAAATGTATTCATAAAACATAAATATAGTCATTAAATATATCAATAATTCCCTTTCTTTCGTTTCTTCAATGTAGAAAATTCTTTGAATTACAAAAATCTTTCATTAAAGTCTGAAAAACGTCGCAATTTACACCCACTCACATCACACAGACAGTTATGGAACGATTGTGAGCTAAATAAACACCTAATGGAGAACTTGAAACTCAAATTGCCCATTTAAAAATAAAGACATAGGAAACGAGCGTGTCGATTATTTAAAGTTCTATGTATATAAACTTTAGTGTGCTCATAACAGTATTCTTAATATGACTTAGATTATTTTTTATGTTGAATGTTCATTGTTTTGACTTTTCCAAATAAGAAGTACAAACTCCAACCAAATACTGAGGTTTTATAAACCTCAGTATGTGAACTTGACATTATCTTCATGTCTTTTTTTTTCTTTCCTTTTTCTCATCGTCAATCATAAGATAACTTTAAATAAAAATCCCAATCAAGAAAAAATCTTAAATTATTGGAATTTATCAATCAATGCAATAGAGTCGAATGTTTACCAAAATAAAACGCTCAATCTTCAATGCAAGAACTATTTCATTCACAAAATGTCCTTTCTTTGATTGGTTCTGAGTAAAGAGAAAAACGTAATCATTGAAAAATTTGCTGGAACAAATCTATTGGGATCATTTAATTTTGAAAAATAAATACGATTTATCGTGTGATTATCTCATATATTTCGCAGTTTGCAGATGCGTTCGTCTCATTCTGCTTGCAGGTGGCGCTTTATCAGGAAATGCAGGTTTCAAAGGTAATTCCTTGCAACTTCTGTTGGAGATATATTTCTTTTGATGCCGAGTTATTCTTCGTAAAGTGAATGATAGGACTCCCCTTAAAAAATCATCGAGTTTCATCCATTTGTCGATAAGCTGCTGAAGTATCGGCAATGCACACACCAGCGAGATTTAAAATGTAATAAAAAGATAAACTAGTGCTAATTGTAACGGGGACCGTTACAGATGTTCCCCAAACGCTCCCCAACTCCCTTTTGGTGCCATACTCCCTGTAAGCTTCATTAAATAAGACAAACTCGATGCATTTGAGACTTTAATAACGTTTACCCAGAAGTGTAAAAAGTTCGTTCAAATTTTGCGTGCGCATGTGAATGCATGTGCATAATGACCATATCATCTTGTCTACACAATCTATATATTTTTATATACTAAATATTAAAGCATTTAATCCAAAAGTATTAAAAAGATACGCTCATTCAAGTGTGTTTTTGATTTTGTTCATTTCACGTGCACGCACGAGCATGGTGACCATATCGTTTTGTAGATGTCCGTTACATCTATCTATGTTCTAAATTCCACCCCGTTTGGTTGAAAACCAAGGGAGTTATAGCTGTTTAAAGTTTCGGTCAATCAGATTGCAGCACACGTACATGCACGTGTAT